CTACGAGTCTTTCCCAGACGCCGCCCATCCAGGGGGAGGAGGGTGGATTAAATATCCATTTTATTTTGCGTGTTGCACTGTAACTCATAATTGAGTCTCCCGAGTTATTGTCTTTCTCGTACAGCGTGTCAATGAGCTTTTGACCGAGTTTGAAGTTTGTACCGCAGTCCGTTCTTACAAGCTTAGGTACTCCTCTACGGGATATAAACCGAACGAAACAGTTCAAAAACGCTCCCGTAGTTAGGTTTTCTGCTGTTTCTAAGTGTATGGCTCTTGTTGTAAGGCACGTGAACAAGCAGACGTACATGTTCTCATTTGTCGTAGATAGGAACGGTCCCATAAAGTCACATCCTACATTTTCGAATGGTACGGTTGTCACCACACGGTCTTTGGGGAGTGGTGGCATATGTGGTGCTCCATATGGTAAACCCGTGCATTTTTTGCATGTTATACATTTTGTGAGGTATTTTTTCACTGTTATGGAAGGTTTTGGTATCCAGAAACGTTGCCTTAGTATTGAGAGAGTTTGCTCTTTTCCACAATGTGCGTTTTGCTCATGTATGTTGGTTATAATCAGCCTTGTTGCTTCTGATTGGTTAGGTAGAAAAATTGGAAATTTTGTGTCGTAGGGAAGCAACGCATTCGTTATTCGAGATTCGTAACGAATCAATCCGTTGCCGTCACGTAATATTTTTTGATTTGTGAAGCGCTTCTGAAGTTCATCGACTTGAAAATTTTTATGCTCTTGTGCAAGAATAAGGGTTTCGCTTGCTGATATATCTTCAGCTATTATTTCGTGGCTGTTTGTGAAGTGATCTTCAAGAGCTATGGAGATGTTTGTGTTTCGATTCTTATTTGTGGCTTTTGCCCAGTTTATTATGAGTTTTGCAACGAAAGCTAATGTTCGCAGTGCACGATTGAGTTTAGAAAAATGCGTTAAGTCTATTAATATGTTTGCATTTTCTTCTCTTTCAGCTATGACAGGTGCTATGACAGCTTGTACTGTAATTTCACAATTATCAAGTTGCCTGTCCTGTTCGAGCCAACTTATGTGCTTGATTGGCCATGTGTGGGCTTCTTTGTTGAGCCATTGTGGACCTTGAATCCACGAGCTGCTGTTTATCTCAGATGCAGTCAGTCCTCTGGTACCTTTGTCTGCCGGATTGTAATCTGAGGAAACATGTAGGAAGCTTACTGCAATGCTTTTTGCTTCCAATTGTGACTTGATCTTGATGATCTTGTCTTTTTGATTTGTTACAA